CATCAGCTCACGTTTAGATGTTTTTGCTGCAAAGCCCATTCAGATACATTATCATCAGCTGGAAATGGCAGATCATCAAGAGTATCATGAGAGGGTTCCCCCAAATGGACCCTATCATAATGTGGCCTAATCTGATGTAGGCTCCCTGGTGAGATGGACAAGTAGTCAATGACGGGCAACTAGGACCCACATGCAATGCCACCGACCACCTAAGACAGGAACAGGGCCTACTGTCACCCTGCAATCCCAAGACGGGTAAGGTCTGGTCGATCTCATGTGAAGGAGTCCTTGACCCAAGTCACGCATTGTCCCTGCAGGGCACTGTCAATTTCCGCTTGATGTATTTAATAAAAAGGGGGATAAGTGGGGGGCGATAGAATGCTCCTGTTATATTTTCCCTTATTTGGGCAGGAAGTGCTGCAGCACCAATCCCGCTTGCCTCGGCATCTTCCTGTGGTCCTGGACCTCCACTACCAATCCACAACTAGTCCCACCCAACTGCTTCCACTATACGGCTATTTAGACCCTGCTCACTTCCTCAGCAAATGAGACTTGATCAGAAAGCCTGTCTTGTCTCCGTCTCTTGTGTCTCTTGCCCTGTCTTGTTCATCCCTGTTCCTCTTCCAGGTCATTACCCCATGTCTCAACTCGCGGGCCGAGTCACGCGGCACTAAACGTAACACATGTGCAGTGCCTTGAGCGGTGGATAGTTTTAGGTGTCATTTGACTCCTATGTTGTGGTACTCAGCTAATCAGAAACTGGTGCTGCTGTGAAGGTATTGTGTAGATGTGGTTAATATGCACAACTAGTTGACTTTATGCAAAGAAGATTATGTGCGATGATACAGTGGGCCTCACTTGATCAGATGAAGGCTCTCAAGGTCGTAGGAAGGCTTTCCCTCCCAGAGAAGAGTCTGCCCTGAGACGGTAGCACCCTTCCTGCCTGCATGTCTGGCCTGCTGCCTTCTCCCCAGATTCTTGCCAGCCCTGCGGCTACGTGAGCTGATCCCTTAAAGCAGTGCTGGTGAGCCTATGGCACACACGTTGTTTTTCTTTTAAGACAAAAGATGTTAATGGAGAGTTATAAACTAAAGGTTTAGGTTTAACTGCAGTGTTGGCACATTGCAATAAATCTGGGACTGAGAAGGGCTGGGATCATGGCATCCACTCAGGGTGGCTTGGTGCCGCTCTGTGTAGGGTGGATATGTGGGGAAAGACACTGGGAACAGAAGACTACCTGGTGTCCTCCGTGGCGATGGCTGCAGCCCCCATGTTGAAATCCTGACCTACAGGGCGATGAGATTCGAGGTGGGCCTTTGGGAGCTGACTTGGTCATGAAGGTAGATGCCTCAGATAAGAGACCCCAGCATGCTCCCAGAGCTGCTCTGCCTTGAGAGAGCACAGCGAGAGGACGTCGCCTGCAAACAGGAAGAGAGTGGGGCCTCTGTGGACCTGCTGCTGCTGCTGTCCTCAACTTGGGCTTCCAGCTCCATAACTAAGAAAGCAATGTCATTTCTAGGCCACCCCACCAATGACACTGTGCCACGGTAGCCTGAACAGACAATCCCCCGTGGGGTGCGGAGCCTTACGGCCCCACATCAGGCTGGAGCACCCCAGCCACAGCCCCGTGCTGTCGGCCTGCACAGCCCTGCCTGCCTCTCCACCCAACCCTTCTCTTCTCTGCCCTTCACAGCCTGTCCCTTTTTGGCTCCTACCCTTTGCATTTCTTCACTCTGTTCCCCTAAGTCATCTTTGAAACTCCCAGCGCTGCCTGCAGTAAGTGCTGCTATTCTGCTGCTTTCTGCCTGCACTGGAGCAGGTTTTCCTTCAGATTCCAAGAGATGACAATAATTTACACTTTGGAATTTTTCACATTTAAACTGGCATCTATATGGATAACTTGTGCTTTGTTTTTCAAGACAGTCTCACTGTGTGGCTCAGCCTGGCCTTCACCTCATTGTGTAGCCCCGGCTTGACTCAGCCTCCTGAGGGCTGGGGTTATGGAAGTGCACTGTCGTGCCTGGCAAGGTATCCATATAATAAAGAGTGTTTATAAAGCTGTTTCATTAAAAAAATTATGGTGGATATTCTTGGAATTATGCATTTAATCCATTTTAGAAATCTTGGGGTTGGGAGATAGCTCAGTGGCATAAGTGCCTGCCTGGCAAGTGCAAAACCCCAAATTTGATCCCTGGTCCTGCATACCATGCGGGGCCCGGAACCAGGTGTGGTTGCACACCCCTGTAATCCCAGCCCTGGGGAGGCTGAGACAGGAGGATCACTACAAGTCCAAGTGGTGAGACCCTGTACCAAATACATTAAAAAATAAATTAAATAAATAACTTTCATAGCGAGACCCCGTATCAAAAACAAAAACACATACACACACAAAGAAATCTTGAAGACTGATAAATATAAAAAGAAGGAACAGAAAACCACAGAGCTCTGGGGGAAAGTTGTATTTATTTTACTTTTAATTATCAAAGAATTCACTAAGAGAGGAGGCAGTATATGTAATGGAGTGCGGGGTTCCCAGAGGCAAACATGCAAGGGATGTGACAGTGTGGTAATCAGCATGTAAATAAAGTCACACTGGCGACAAAGCATAAAAACATAACAGGAGTTAGCCTTCTTGTGCAAGTCCAGCACCTTGGACCACTCACGAAAGCGCAGTGGAGAGGCGAAGTGCTGCTGAGCTTCTGCCAAGACGAGATCTCGCTCTGCTTTGGAGAACTCACACCAGAGACAAAGCCCATCACTGACCAGCGCTGACTGAGCCCCGACTTCACTGTGATGTATAGTTTTCACCAGACAAAAATAAATCAAGATGACGAATATGAAAAAGCTTTCAGGTCGAGCCTGATGCCTGGCACACAGGAGTGGCCCCGTCCCTGCACAATGGCCCCAAGTCCCGCAGATTTGAGGGAGCCCGGAGCCTTCATTCAGGATTTCAGTCAGGCTGACTGGACATCAGGGAATTAAGACTGTTCAGCAAAAAAATGGGGAGACCTCCAGGGAGTTGCCAGGCCTTCGCTAAACCTCAAAAAATGATCAAAGAGAGAAGTTTCGTGTATACATGGAATATGGAAAAGTTCTCAGAGAAACCTTGTACACATCAGGGAATGGAGAGCTGCTGTTGCAGGCGGTCCCTCGTGCTGGCATGGGCAGTGCAGAAGGGGGACAGCACGCTGAGCGTGGCTGCATCCCATCAGGGGCTCGGATGGAGCTCGGCAGTAGAGGGCTTGCCTAGCACCGGAGGCTCTGGGTTGGCTCCCTGGGACTGACTGGAAAGAAAAGAACTTCCTTCAGAGGGAGAGGGAGGGAGGGAGGGAGGGAGAGGAGGGAGGGAGAGAGAGAGAGAGAGAGAGAGAGAGAGAGA